CTCTGGTCATAAAAAAAAAATAAAATATTCTTATTTTGGAATATTTATCAAAATAGAATTTCAATTAAGAGATTTATTTTCTTATTGAATATGTTTTTTTTTGAAAATAATTTTTCAAGATTATTGAAACATTCAAACCAATAGAAAACCTTCGAAAATATAAGAATAGAAAAAAATATCTAATTTTTTTATTCTCTTTTGTATATAGACGGGTTTGTGTGTATGTGTACAAAATAACATCGTCATTCATTCATATATAAATATAATTGTCTTGTTCTTCTACATCTTTTTTTTATTATTTTGTTTATTTTATCAATCAGAAAAAATTCAAATTCTTATTTGAACAATAAAAAAGAAAGTCCATCAACATTCCAAATGGCTTCATCTACCGAGAATACAACACCATCGGTTAATATTTTCATATTGAATATTTTACAAAGTTGAACAAATTGATCTATTATTTAGGATATTGGTAGCACACCCGAAATGAGTGAAGAAGCAAAATTGAAAGCTAAGTATGGTGGTGCACTACCTCGACAACAAAATATGTTAACAAAAAAATTAATGAATAAGGTAAAGAAAAAAAAAAATTTTTATGTAATTCATTTGTTTTGTCATTTGATTTTATTAGCCGAAATATTTTGACTCGGGTGACTATAATGTTGCTAAAGCACAAGGTAAATTAGTCTCAAGTAAACCAGATCCAACAAATAGAACGACTAGTATTAAAGAAGCAGCACAACCAATTGTACCTGAAACAATAACTGGTCATGAAATTCCAACACCTGAAACAGTTATGCCAAGAAAATTATCATGTGCTGCAACAATAACACCGACATCGACACCAACTATAATGTGTAATTCTATGCCACCACCATCAACACAATAAGAAAATCCAACATTTTGTTTGGAAAAAAAGTTATCAACGAACAAAATAAATAAAGACATTGGTTTTTTCCTGTAATCTCTTCATTTTTTCATATTATCATTATCGTTCTTTTTCTCTGTATATATGTGGGAGTATTTTCGAAAAAAAACCAACACACACACACACACACGCGCAGGATTCATATGGTTCTTATGGTTTATTTTTATTGAAGAAAGATTTTGAACGTCTGTCGTAAGGAACTTTGGTGATATGTTTGATGTTTATTTACTGAAGGTCATCGAGTTTTCATATAAGTTAGTAAAGTGGATCAAACTTGGAGTTTATTAAGGTCTTATTGCAAAAGATAAAGAAGAAAATTTATAAAACACTCAACAAAAAAAATCGACTCGTATAATTTTATAATACTGTGTCATTGTTTTTGGTTCTTAAAACCATTCCAAGTAATTGACTTCTTAACATGGTAGAGAATTTTTCTAAATATAATAAAGAGAAATGCGTATTTTAAAAATATCGTTTGTTTTCAAAACATCAACTATGAAAATGTCAAATAAATATATGAAGGCACACGTACAATTCTTCATGTCTTTGTATGTTATGATAATATTCGCAGAAATTTTTATCCAATTACAAATTGGACATTGGCAATATGTTCAGCCTGTAATTCTAAACTTATCAGGGTTACGTTGATCTACAAATATCAATAACAAAAAAAATATTCGCTGAGATCATTTTCAATTATTTTTCTGTCTTATCATGAAAATTTTCATAGAATATTTAAAAAACTTCTTTTATGTGTATTGTATATCATTAATTAATTCTCAAGCAATGATATCCATCTGTCATAATAGTTTCATTTGACGTCATATCCTACCTGAATTTTTCATAGGCATTCAC